CAATATTGTATCACAGCTGTGATCAGTAGAAGTACTTACTTAACAATGACTGTTTTGAAATATCTTCTGTTTCACAGTTTATTTCACAATTTATCTTAGATAACTCATGTAAAAGTGCATTTTACTCACTGACAGCATTTTTTTCAGAGTATGTTATATTCATCTAAATTGACTTGTGATGATGATGTGAACAAACTAATATTCACATTGGTTGTAGAAAACTTGATCATTGATTATACTTTATTGCTCCTATGAATAAATGTCGGTAATCATAAGCTTTAAAAACTAATTTTTTGTCTGACAGAGTGTAATGGCCTTGAAAGAGTTATTGTTAGTACCAAAATTACTTATTGTTAGTAAGCATTGTGACTGCAACTGTGCTTTGAAAGTATTATGCAAGTGGCTTATAGTAGGTGTGGAAGGTTTGGGCAGTATGCCTTCTTTTAAGTGTAAAATCTGTCACTTATTACCATAACTACTGACCAAAGTGTACCATAAAAACAACACACATCTTGAAATTTCTTATGGTGCTTTGAAAATGTAAATATGACTAGTGGTCAGTGTTGGTAGGTTTGTGGAAAACATCATAACTTATGACATAGGATATGACTGAACTTTTTTTTATGTTTCCTAATTTAAAAATCTGATTTTTTACTTTTCTATAATTTTATGTTTACCAGTTTAAAGTTTCTTTAGCATGAACTATGTCTCACTTAATGTAAATATTTTAAATAGTCAAGTGATTTGCTATTTAGATATAGTAGGTTATTGTATGAGCTTTATATTAACATTTTGTTTATTAAGTGTGTTTTTATTTTTGGCTATCTTGAAAAAGAAAATAACTTAAGGGCTTCTGTGTATGCTCTTTGTTTTTAAGGTAATCTATGGTTAAGAACAACCAGTTCTTCTGGTGACCTCTAGGTCACTAAAACAGTTCCATCATCTATAACAATCAGTTTTCTCATTCTTATGTCAAAGTGGTAGGATGGATAGCAGTTCAGATGACCAAGGAAAACGTTCAGGCACACGGTAAGTCTGTTTTAAATGTTTGTATATACACTTTACATATAAGCAAATTTAACATAACTGTCATATTGAGATCTTATTTTTCTATCATGAATGATGTTATTATTTTTGTAAGACTATGACAGAAATGTATAAATCTTGCAACATGTGATACCAAATTGCTTAGTATTAAGATTTTGAAATGATGAACCAATTATTTGGAGTTCATGCAAGTCTCATAAGATTTTTATTTTCATTCTCAGAACAGTAATTTCATTTTTTAATTGTTAAAAATCCTCTCCACTTCAGCAGTTCTTATAAAGAGTCATAATAAAATGACCTAAAACAATAAGTTTTGTAAGGAAATACTCTATTTATTGTTAGCTTGTATTGTTAGTTTTTGAAAACCTTTCTGATTTAATCTGTATGACGAGTTATGGTGGTTCTCTTCACTTGCTTTTTTGGTTGAGTCCAGCCTTCTCCATTTTGGCTCCAGGATATTGAGCGGACAGTCTCGTTTACCATCCATTCTCCTTCTCTCTATGTCGGTGAGGTTCTCTCTTTTTTAGGATGTGGTCTTCTTTGGAAGTACTCATTCCCTTGGGTCAGACACACATGCATTCCCTTCATTGGATACTTCTTGACCAGTGGAACTTCCCTCATAATCCCTTGGACCATTGCATTTTCTTCGATACCCAGAGTTTTTCAGTCAGTAGTTAGTTGAGGAGGCTACCCTCCATATCCATACCCTTGGCAGTTAATTGGGTTCTGTATCCTTTCCTGCAGGAGAGAATGGTTTTGGTTCTTTCTGCAATATCACAGTTGTCAGCTTTATCACCTAGAATGGGGGAACCACTTACTGATCTCTGTCTGGTCAGACTCTGGATTTTGTTTACTGGACCAATGATCTTGATGTGACTATTCTGATGGGTCATGTTCCCTGAGTTCTGATCCTTGTGGCTGATCTCTTATCGCATATGTACAGGTGTGCCTCGTATTTTAATTGTGGCACATCTGCATTTTTCATCCCTTGATTATTTGTTTTTGTGCCTTACCGGCCCATCCACCTTTCCAATGTGGAATTCTAACTATGGGGGGAGTGTAGGTAGTACCGTTTCAGAAGTTAACATTTTCTAATGATGAAAATGTATTTCCGATAGGTACTTACCTTCTCTTACTCACTTCGTACCCTTCCTCCCCACTGAGTGGCCAGTGTTTTCAAGTTTGTATATGCCACTTCTTAAAATTGAGGATTATGTCGCAAGGGTAGAGGGAGCTACCTGTGCTAGCATAGAAGGTGCAATGGGATTGGTGGAAGGTGGTCATATGATCAGCACATTTTGCTGGTATGATGCAAGAAACATGGGGGTATAAAAGACTGGTGTGCTTTTAAAAAGCTTACCAATGCCTAGAGGGCAAATGAAGGCCGAGATAGCTTTTGGTGAAGTGAGGTAAGTACCTATAGGAAATACATTTTCAGTGTTAGAAAATGTTAACATTTAAACCCACTCTTTATTTTTAAAGTAATATCAATTCCCCTCTTCAGATCTGGTAAACTGTTGGGTTCCACTACTATTGATGGGAACTCATTCTTTAAGCCAATCACCCTGTTACAAAATAGATTTTAACCTATCTCTATAAGATAACCGTTTCATCACGGGAAGTATCTTAGCCCTCCTCTGAACACTTTCCAATAATTTGGTACCCTTTTTAGATAGGTAGACCAAAAGTTTACACAGTATTCCAAATGAAACCTAATTAGTGGGTTGTATATGGAGAGAATTACCTCTTTTTCACATTTAATCAATATGCTATGAATATGTACTAAAATTCTCTTAGCTTTAACGCAAGCCTCAGAGCACTGCTTCAATAATTTCAGTGACTTATCCACCACTATGTCAAAATCCTTTATTTCAGTCACACTGTTGAGTGTATCTCAATGTATATTATATATATATGTATGATCTAAATTATGATAATCCAAATGCATTACTTTTGCACTTATTATAATTAAAGGTCATTTGCCAAATAGTTACACAACTTGCTAATTTATTAAAGTCACTTTGTAGTCTCTCAACATCCTCAGTACAGCTAGAAATACCCAAGGGTTTAATGCCAGCAGCAAGCTTTACTAGTTTACTAGTTACACCCCAATTGATATTATTAATTTAATTAAGAAAAAGCAGGAGTCCAAACATTAACCCCTGAGTCACTCCACTAGTAACAAGGGTCCAGTTTGACTGGACTCCATTAGTAACAAACTTTTGCTTTCTCTCATCCAGCCACCTACACACCAATTAACTAACCTTTTCCCAACCACTACTGATATGATTTTCTTAGGTAATCCTCTGTGCAGCACCTTATCAAAAGCTTTTTTTCAAAATCCAAGTACACAAAGTCCACATCCTCCATCATCCAAATATACTAACATGCTTGAAGATATTTAACATATTAATAAGTTAAACTTTTCATTTAGTGAAGAGTAGAAATTGTTTAAAATTTTTGCTCACACCTCATAGTCTTGAACAAAAACTTTCCCTTTAACTCTTTCACCACGAGCTTGGTCCCTAGGACTGACCTTGTAACCATTTTGTGCTTGTTATAGTTTTCATGTATAAATTAGTAAGCAAATGTTAACAAAATTTGGTAGATTATCAGTAAACATTATAATGATTTCATACGCAAAATATCAGATTTGTTTATTAAGTTTAAAGTTTGTGCATTCAACATACCATGTGACACACAAAAATCAATGTTTATCTGTGTTGTTTTAATATTTGCTTTTAAATTAAGAAATTGAGTAATATATAGTACCAAAATTTGAATTACAACCTACAGTTTGATACCAAAGTTATTGACATAAATTTATCAAATAGTAGTTCAATAAAATTTTGAATGCGAGTCAACAAACGAGATGACATGGCCTTTCACTTGTGACCCGTCTCAAGAGGGTTAACATCTTATAAAGGGCCAGTCCTCCATTTTAGCATTTTGCATATTTTAACATAGTTGTTATTTTAGAAATTATCACCAAGCTGTTTTTCATAAAACCTGTTTGATTTCCTCATTTCTTTTTTAACCAATCTTTTTCTATATATTTTCAAACCAACATGTATCCATCAAATTAAACTTCTACAACTTATCGTATTTATCCCTGATTTTCTTTTTATGTTTCAGTAAGCCAATTATATTTTATCATTCTTGTTATTTTCCTATACTTAGGAACATATCTGACTTAAATTAGAATAAATTTATTTTCAAAATTTCATAAATCTGCCTCACACAACCTTTTAACTTATTATCTCAATTCATTAATCACAAATCTTGTCTGATGTCCTTAAAACCTGCTTCATATTAATTAGGAACTAAAACTTAATTCTTTTATCTCAACATCTTGCAAAATATCAAACCTAATCATTTTTTCAAAATGTTTCCCCAGTTCACCTCTTGCAACCAGAAAATCATTAATGGTTGCTAATAAACATAAAATGACATTCATTTTAGTTGGCTTTCTGACCATTAGGAGTATGAAACCATTCTGAATTGCTAATTCCCCTGGTAGCTTGACACTAAACTTGATGACTTGTAATGCTAAAATCTAGGGTTTGATTTCCTGTGGTGGATACAACCCTCATCCCCTTCTATTTTACTCAATATAATCCCTGTCAATCAATCTAAAATTAGTCTCTTGTAATTATTGTATCATTATCCGTATTAAAACAAACCTAATATCCATATACAATGTCTGATTGACATCACCTGAAAATAAAATTAAAGTTACTTATCATGTTCAAATACAAAAATATCCTGCTTTCCTTAACTATGCTTGATTATGTGTTAATTTTAAATTTGTCATCTAGTGCTTCTGCTCTCATTTGATGGACAATGATGTTTTGAGTGTATTTTTTGTGTTCTTGCAACTGTGGTCTGTGTTTACTTTTTCACATACAATTTATTTTCTTTTTATTTCAGGGTTTTTAAAAAGAGTTCACCTAATGGGAAGGTAACTAACTAGCTAGTAATCAAACTATTTATTTTACAAAATGTATATATGTCCAGTGTATACATTGTATTATTCATATAGTAGTAACTAGTTCAAGATCAGTGATAATTTTATGATATTGTAAAGGATCCTGATCCATTATGTAAAGCCCATTCAGAGATTTATTTCGTCATTAATAAATTCTAAACCAACATTAACTTTATTTAAACTTGTATATTAAGTAGAAGAGTAAGTTCATATTTTGAATTACTAAAACTGGATTGAAAGAAAAATATGACTTTCTTAAATATATCAAACGTAACAGGAGCTGAAACAAGGCATATTCATCCTATTTTGTGTGGTGTTGAAGACTGCCCCAAGTTTGGGTTTAACTAGCACACTAAATAAACCTAGATTAGGCATAAAAAATAAAGAATAAATTGAGTGTAAATGTATTTTTAAGAAATTTATATAGGAATACTTAGATTTGCAATGATGCATTTGAGTTAATTCATTAATTGTTTTTAACTGTGTAACAAAAATTTCCATCCTCATGATATTGACTTTGTTTTCTTTGATATTAATTAATTAACTTTTCTAGATTACAGTGTACTTGGGAAAAAGAGATTTTATAGACCACATTACTCATGTTGAGCCAATAGGTAAGCACAAGTTTATGTAAATAAAATGTGCCCTTATTGAAATTTCAATGAGGTGTGTTGTGTATAAAGAAAGAAATAGGCTTAATTGAGTGTAATGTTAATAGTATTACATTGGTATATTATACTATTAATTTAAAGCTGTGTCATATTTACTTCAAAATCTAGTACAAGATATGACTTTACAGTCTTTTTATGTAGTCATTCCCTAGAACTTTCATAAGTATTATTAGAGAAGACAAGACTCATCTTAGATTTATCTAAAACTGCCTGTAGAAATGCCACTATGGACAACCATAAAAATTATTGATGCATGAAGTTAGATGAATTATAAAAACTTGAGGTTAACCTTCTGAGAAACACAGTAAATTAGAGCTTTCAACAAGAAACTTAAATATTGATTAAATTAAACACACTAATTTGTAGGTAATAGATATTTCATGTATTCTTATGATGTATAACTTTGTAGCTGGCAGAGCATGACGTTTATGTGGTATTATCACAGTATGTAAGAATGTTAATAAGTTATATCATTCTTTAGTAGCCCATAAGAACTTCCATTAAGAAAAGTGCATAACAACATTTAAACCATATTTTGTTTGTTTTATGTCAGTTCTGTTGATGGAGCCTTCTTCTTAATATCATAATTCATCAGACTGGCTGGATTGCAACATATGATGTGTTTGATATCTCATACAAGAAAATGTGTAATTTTGAGTACATATTTGTGTGTAATAGAAAAATAAATATATTTATAAACTGCTATAAATAGTGTATAAACCAAGACTTTATATGTTGAAACCTAACAAGCCTGATGAGTTCTAATGTTGAATGTAAGCTAGGCCTCATTAATAATTGAAATCTTACAGTATTAGAATAGTAGCAAAAGAAAGAGCTAACTGAATTATACTTACTTGGAAGTCTTTAAGTTTTCTATTTGGTTTAAAACCTTAGAGTATTTGTGTAGAACAATTTGTAAATGTGATACTTTTTTTTACACACACCAATGGCAGATGGCGTGGTTCTTGTAGATCCAGAATATGTGAAAAACAGTCTAGTTTTTGGCCATGTTCTTGCAGCCTTTCGCTACGGTCATGAAGACTTAGATGTTTTTGGGCTGATTTTTAGAAAAGACCTTTATCTTGCTTCAGATCAGCTCTATCCTCCTTTGATTGATTCTGATAGAAAGCAGCCACTGACTCGTCTTCAGGAACGACTCATCAAAAAGTTGGGGCCAAATGCATATCCATTTTATTTTGAGGTATTTTAAAACTAATGACTTCAGAGATTGATTTAGAGCATAATGATTAACTTTTGATTATATTAGGTCATCAAGAAATTAATGTCACTTTTTTAGATGAAAAAACCTGAACAACTTATATATCAAAACAAAACATATATTAAATGAAATAGTCTCCATTCCTATAGATGATACTTTTCCCATCTTACAATCAGGTTGTTTATGCCCTAATTAAAAAAATCACTTAGCTTTGAAGCAAAAAAAAAAACATGTCGATGTCCTCTTTAAAACCTTTCACATTTGCATATGTTTTCCCATTAAGATGGTGTTGCAGCAAACGTAAAAGATGGTAATCTGATTGTGTCATACCTGAAGAATATAGTGGGTGGTGGAGAACTTCCCAACCCAACTCCATAATCTTGTGTTGTGTCAAATGTAACACATGTGGACGTGCATTTTTGGGGAGAATAAGAACACCTTTCAGATTGATGAGTGAAGGGTGTTTATGATGAAGGGCTTGATTTAAACATTCCAGTTGCTGATTATAGATCTCTGCACTGACAGTTCACTGTGGATTGAGAAGTTTAAAATGAATTACTCCTTTGATGTCCCACCAAATGCAAAGCATCACTTTCTGCGGATGGAGTCCAGGTTTTGGGGTAGGAAGTGGTTTTTGTCTAGGACTGAGCTATTGTTTTTGGCATTTACTATTTGCCTAGAGAATCCATTTTACATCACCGGTGACAATTCTGTCCAAAAATGGTTCACACGCATTATATGCCAGAAGAGATGAAGCAACATTCACACATTGGAAATGATGATCATCAGAGAGTTCATGAGGCATCCAAACACCTTCTTTATGGAGTTTTTTCATATATCTTAGATATTTATGTATTGTTTCATGAGATACATGCAATTTCAGGGCCATTTCACAAATGTGTTGCATTGGGTTAGACTCAACAAGCGTCTTCAGAGTATCAATATCAATTCCAACATGTTGGCCCCTGCCATCACAGTTTTTAAGGCTAAAGTAACCTGAAAGAAATTTGCTGAACCATCATTGACACAATTCCATAAAACATTTCCATAAACTTCTTTGATATTCTTTGTGGCTACAGAGCTGTTGTTTCCCTTCTTGTATTCAAACACCATTACATGCCGAATATGTGTCTCATTGTGTGCCATCACTGTAAGTGAATAGAGTATACTATACTTTTTACATTATATAGGCTACACTAACGTGATGGTTAGGTGGTTCAGAGTATCAATATCAATTCCAACATGTTGGCCCCTGCCATTACAGTTTTTAAGGCTAAAGTCACCTGAAAGAAATTTGCTGAACCATCATTGACA